ACTTAATAATAGTATGGGACACATTGTTTTATAATGAATTCAAAAGTCTTATAGAAGATTGAATGATTTAGCATTAGCTTTGAAATTCCTCTTAATAGGTCTCCAGTTAAGACTTTATAAACAATGTGAAAATTTCAAATGCAGATGATCTAAGTGATGACATAAATCTGAATATATGAAAAAAATCAAATAACATTATTACTCCTTAAAGAGAGAGAGATTGAAACAAATAAGAATTTTTAGCCTGTCACACCAACAGAAATTTAAAGGAAAATAAAAATACAGAATCCTGGATAGTGAGTAGTGATGAACAGGTATACATGTACTGCTGTGTGGAAAATTAATATAATGAATATCATGTATGTATTAATTAGCTTTGTCATATCTTAATATTTTGTCATGTTTGGTTTAGCACTTCTTTCTCTTTCAAGATACAAAATGGTACAATTGAAGACCCCAGTGTACTTTCCCCCAGTCTTATTCTTTTCCCTTTCCTAAGTGTTTGGAAATCTCTGTTGTTTTTATTGTATTTTTACATAAAAGTTTTCATATTATATAGAACTTGATCAAAGACAAAATTTATTATTAGTAGTATTTTGTAATTTAAAAATTACAATGTTTTAAACTCATATTTTTATAAGACTTTTATAAGAAAACATGGAAAAGTGTTAAAGATGAATTATTGAGAGATTTAAAAATCTACCTTTGCAAACTTAATATATTGCAAACAGGAAAGTTTGTTGTGGATTCATTTCAAATAGTGCGATAACTTTAGATATTTCAGAAGGGTTGTTACAATTAAAATTTTTGTTAAATTATGATTACATTTCTATTAATTTAATAGAAATTTATATTTTTTAGTGTGTGTATTTGCATTGTATTCTGCAGACAGGTTTGATTACCCTACAGTGTTCAGGACTTAGGCACATCTGAGTAGTGGTAAGGAAAACAGATGAGTCCTACCATTTAGGAGTTCAAACCTTAGTTGGGGGGTGGGAGGATAGACTTAAACAATTAAGGAATAAAAGATCTAATTACAAATTCTAATATATGCTATGAAGGAAACAGAGATGCTGGCGAAGGAAGAGTCCTTTGGATTTTATTTTTAAGACTGAATGGGGATGGTTTTGAAGAACTTTGAACAAGTGACATGATCTCCATTAAATACAAATCATTTGCTGCTGTGTGCCAAATATATCCTAGGGATCTCTGCCAGGAAGCAATTGCTGAAACAGATTGCCTGAGAAAAAGTAGATAACAGGGGCTGGGGGATAACTAAGGGATGATGATAGTGGTAGATGCTTTGATTTAGGGTAAATCTTGAAAATAGATAAATAGTGTAAGACTATGGGTCAGTATTAAGTGTAATTTTTCTTTTTAAGACATTTCAGGATGCCATGTTAAGTGCATCTCTATCATTTTTAAAGAATATTTCCTTAGCATCATTTACTGTAAATGATATTATTATGTCAAAGCCTATGATTGTTGTAGATAAATACTCTTATGGCTTTCCAAAGAGATTGTGCTGTTTAATTGTATCACCAGAACTGTCTTAATTTCATCTACAGTATACCCTTACCAGCTTAGTATATTTCATTTAGAAAAGTTTATACTGCTTCAGTAGATGAAAAGATGGCACTTTGGGAGCAAAGGGTATACATCAAAAAAACTTTAACTATTTCATTATGTTGAGTGAATTTAAGTGGTTTCATTTTATCCTAGTTTCCTAAGGATATCCATAACCTATGTGCCTGATCTAAAAGTTTACTTTATTTGCAAGTCTAGAGATAGCACTAATTTAAAATGTAAAATTTGGATCCTTTTCTTTGCTCCATCATAAACTAGTTTCATTGTAGACTCTGTAAGTTTTTAAATTTGTTAGGCTTTGGTAGTTGTACAAAGTGATTTTTTTTTAAGTATGTGGGGAATAAATATGTGTTAATAAGCATGTTTCAGATTTGTGAAAAGTTAATAGCTTTCTACAAGGGCTGGCAATTTTTTTCTGTAAAAAGCCACATGGGTCTTTATTACATAATCTCTGGGGTTTTTGTGTCAATATTTTTAGGCTCTGAAAGGAATAAGATAATAGGAATGAGACTGCTTTCCCAGTTTCTTGGTCCCTCTGGTGGAATGTTCATCAAGGAAACATCTTATGTAATATGTGCAGAAGCTGCTAAATTTCCCACCACATTATATAGTTTTTAAACAGTATTTGAAATTTTGCTGAGTAGGACTTTACTGAGGTACTTTTTGGAGGCATGATATATGGGAAGATGGTGAGAAATCCCATAGCCACACCTTCTGTATGAAGTAGGTTTGGGTGGCTCCAGAATCTATGTGCTTGACTTTTTGTTGTGAAATATTTTAGATTTGAAGACTAAGAGAACTACCACCGATTAGGCTAACTTTAGTTAGTTTTGGTAAGCAAAGAATGTGAGTTAACAGCAATAGGTAAGGAAAAGTTTTTGGTTAGTTTTACATACTCCTGAGACACACCTAGGTAAAGTATTGACTAAGACACTGTACTGCCAATTTCTGCTCTTTGATTATTCCTCAAACACTGGATTTAGGGTATGGCTAAATATTGAGGTATAGCTCAGTGGTAGAGCACCTGCCTGGTGTGTGTGAGGCCTTGAGTTCAGTCTCCAGTACAACAAAACAAAACAAAAACCCATTGGTTCTCAATTTAATACCTATAGGAGTTCTTTCAAATGGTAATTAAGTGGATAGGCTAAAATAAAATTGTCAACCAAATATTCAAAACATTAATCAAGAACTTCTTGTTTAGAAAATCAGTATCCATCCTTTTTTTTCTGATTGGTAAGATTATTATTACATTCAATTTGGAAAATACAGTATACTTTTAAAAGTTAAGCAATAGATCATAGTCTAATATGGTACTCTTTCATACTTTTAAAAATTAATCTAAAAGGCCTGTGGGTGAAGCTCAGTAGTAGAGCACATGGTTAGTATGTGTGAGATTCTGGGTTCAATCCAGTATCTACATAAATATAAATTCTAAACAAAGAAACACATTCAGTGTATCATGTAGCACCAAAGAGAAATAAACAAGAAATAAATCTCTCTTAAATTATCTTCTCCATCAAAAACAGCCTTTTAAAGTGTTTTGATGTATTTATTTCAAGTTCCTTAATATGTGTAGAGATACATTTATAAAACAGTGTACCCACACTTTATTGGGATCATGCTGTATACTGTCTAAAATTTAACATTTTACAAAAAGCATGATTTTTTAATGATACTCCCCCTCTCCCTTGATCTCTCAAATGATAGAATGATCGATAAAGTAATTCATGAACTAAGGACACTTAAGTACTGTTACCCATGTGTGGAACAATAAAAAATAATCTTTATACATTTTACCTGTTGTCAGCACTGCCTCTTATTCCACAGTTTTACATAATACCATCCTCTTTGCTTACTTTTTGAGGCCTGTTTTGGTAGAGTGTGTGAAATTTTCAGTAGAAATATCACTCAAAAGTCAGAGGAATATCAGATTTTCATTTCAAGATTCTGTAACCAACCCCATTCCTTTTTTTATTTCCAATGATAAGGATCAAACCCAGATCCTTGGCTTGCTAAGCAAGTCCTCTACCACATAGGCCTTCATTTTTACAATTGAATAGTTTTAAGATCTCTGTCGCTTTTTAATAGAGACTCCTCAATTGGCAAATGAAATAGTTATCCTTTAAAACTATAGTCATTACCACAGAAATACTATATCAAAATGCTATCTGGCAGTTAGGTATTGTTCTCAAGCTTTAAAACTATAGTATTAACGTAGTAATACTATCAGTTACCATCTGGAGGTGAACAAGGGCATTAGAATCTTTGTTTATTTGCTTATGTATGTCTTTGACTGTAAATAAAGTTCAATGCATGACAATTATTTGCATGTTGATTGATTGTGTGTGTGTGTGTGTGGGGGGTCATCTCAGTCATCCTGAATAATAGAGTTGGTTCAGCTATCCTATTTTGATAATAATTATTTTTTATAGATAGGTTTGTTACTAATATATACATTTGCATTGTTGAATCTCCAGGTAATACCTTTAAATATTTTTGTGGTAATATATACAAAATTTATCACAATAGCCATTTTTAAGTGTTTAATTCAGTGACATTAAGTACATACACAGTGCAACCATCACAGTGTTGTATAACTGTTAGCACTGTCCACTTATCTACTTTCAGAACTTTTTCATCATTATACACTGTACCCCTTCAACAGTAACTCCCTACCTATTCTTCCTTTCCTCACCCCTGGTAATTCCTATTTCTGTTTGTATGTATGAATTCTCTTCTAGGTGTTTCATATATATGGAATCATGAAATATTTGTCCTTTTATGTCTGACTTATATTACTTAGAATAATATTTCCAAGGTTAATATGTGTTGTAATTTGTATCAGATTTTATTTCTTCTTAAGCTGAATCATTAGCCATCCATTTACCTATTAATGCATACTTAAGTTGTTTCTACATTTTGACTATAGTAAATAATGCTGCTGTAAACATTGGTGTACAAGTAAGTATTGGTTTGGGACTCTGCTTTCATATATATATACATATATATGGAAATGGGTTCATGTTGTAATTCTACCATTTAGCTGTCAAGGAGTAGCTAAATTGTTCTCCACAATGGCTATACCAGTTTACATTGTCAGCAACACAGTACATATCTAGTGTCTCCATATCCTCACTCACATGTTATTTTTTTTATTTTTATTTTTTAGTAATAGTCATTCTAATAAGTGGTAGGTGGTGTCTTGTGGTTTTGATTTGCATTTCCCTAATGGCTAATGATGTTGATCGTCTTTTCATGTGCTTTATTTGGCCATTTGTTCCTCCTTAGAGAAATACCTATTCAAGTCCTTTGCCCATTTTGAATGGGGTTATTTGTCTTTTTTTTGTTGAGTTGTATATAACACCTTTTTAAAAGGTGCACTAAAATAATCTAGACTGTTTCTCCCTTCTCAGGATTCCTACAGGAAACAAGTAGTAATTGATGGAGAAACCTGTCTCTTGGATATTCTCGACACAGCAGGTCAAGAGGAGTACAGTGCGATGAGGGACCAGTACATGAGGACTGGGGAGGGCTTTCTTTGTGTATTTGCCATAAATAATACTAAATCATTTGAAGATATTCACCATTATAGGTGGGTTTAAGTCAAATATAATAAATTGGCATTGAGAAGTAATTATAGCTTTCATTTATTTTTTTGCTAATTGCCATGCCTACATAATCTAACTTAAAATTTAAAATAATTTTTTAGAGGTAGGTAATCATTCCATTTTACAAATAAAGTTTTTGACAATTAGAGTAGTTGAGTAACTTGTTCCAGATTGTTTAGATAGTACTAGTGCTAGGATTGAAATCTATGCTTGTTTGACTCAAGAACTTTCTGTACTCTTAACTACTCTACATTAGAGAAATAAGCCTTTGAACTTTCCAGATATATCATGAAAATGAAAATCATAAACAAAAATATGAAAAGGTGATTTGAAGTAGTGCCACACGAATGATTTTTTTAGATAATTATGTATGTTTAATGTAAGATTGAATAAAGAATGGCTATGCATATTTATATTTAAATACAACTTATATGTTATAAAAATTTATGAATCTGACAAATCTGCATAAAACTGACTATTGTATTAAATGTATTTTATATTCTGTTACAGTTTTCATAAAACTGCATAGTAAAGCAAATATCTATGCTTACTGGCTATGTCCTGTTACTATGAGTTAGCCTAGTTAAGAGGTTTAACATTTTATTTAAGAACATTTATTTCAGTATGTTTACTATGTAGTCTAGTAATAAGAAAATTGGGGTGGTTGTATTTTTGCATTTTTTTAAAGAGTAGTATCTCTTTAAGAGTAGTAAATAGATGACATTTCTTAATTTATTCAAGTTTTACTCAGTTTATGAGTAGAGGAACTGGGAATTTGAACCATTTCTAACTCTGTTTAATGTGTCTCTTCCATGCTGCATCTTTGAAATTCACATAAAATTGTGAAACAATACAATTTTACTAAAAATTTAAATTAACATGTAGAAGGGCTTTTAACAAAATAAAGAGTATAGTAACTTTAGTGTTGTATGTATGAAAATCAAAGTCTTCCCAATTATCATTTTTTTTGAGAAAGTACAGTACTCCCCCCTTATCCACATTTTCACATTCCAAGATTTCACTTATGCTCAACTGTAGTCTGAAACTATTAAATGGAAAATTCCAGAACTAAACAATTCAAAAATTTTAAATTTTTTTTTTGCAGTAGATTGTTGCTTTGTTAGTTATTGTTATCTTACTGTGTCTAATTTATAAATTTTAAACTTATATCAATATGTATGTATTAGAAAAGACAGTATATATGACTTTAGTACTATCCATAGTTCTGAGCATCCACTGAGGGTATTGGAATGTATATCTACACATAAGGAGGAAGAAACAAATGTGAAAGTTTTAATGCTATTACTTCATGTTTGGGTAAAAATATTTTTAATTGTATGCATATACAATTAGCCACATACATGTTGCTAAGAGTATTGTTTTTAAATTAGGCATATCACTTTGCAGTATTTTCTTTTTTATTATGATTTATCTGCATATGAACCTATTTTATAGTTTTAACTCTACTTCTGTAGTTGTTTGATCTTTCAAGAGGGAAGGAAATAACTAGAAGAAGAAGCAAGGAAAATTTGGTGTGGTGAAAATTAGAAATCATATGAAAAGTTTTCATTTGGCCAACTTTTATAAGGCAAAAGTTGTGGATAGTTTTTGTAGGATTTTTGGTTTACTGATGCCTCTCTTTTTCTTCCCCAGAGAGCAAATTAAAAGAGTTAAAGACTCTGAAGATGTACCTATGGTCCTAGTAGGAAATAAATGTGATTTGCCTTCTAGAACAGTAGACACAAAGCAGGCTCAGGACTTAGCAAGAAGTTATGGAATTCCTTTTATTGAAACATCAGCAAAGACAAGACAGGTAAGTGTTATTGGAATACATCTGTTTTCTGCAAAATATATCAAGCAATTTTATCATTAATCATAATTTACTAATACATAATCTAATTTGCATAATTTTTGAGGCAGGAGGGCAAGAACATTAATATATCTGACAGTTAACTGGTATTATATGTTAAATCATTTAAAATGATTTATCAAGTTTTTTTCTTGTTATACTTAAATAGGAAATAAACAATATTTATTTGATTTTTTTTTTTTTTTTTTTGGTAATGTCCTCTTGAGACTATAGTACTTCTTAATCCTATGATACTATTTTTGACTTCCATTTCTTTTCACACAGAAAACTTTTCTTCAATTCTGAACACATTTTAGCATTGAAGAAATGCAGAAACATTTTCAGTTATAGGTAAAAACAAAGAACAGGAGAACAAAATTTGAGTTTCCTATTTGAGAAGCACTTTAAAGATTATTATGTCATAAGGTTCTTTGTTATATTTGAAAATTTTTGCTTTCATAGATTTTTTTTTGAAGATATATTTTTGGAGAAAGTTTTCATTAAAGCAAGGGGAATTTTTGGAAAGTAAACAGAAATTCTCAGTTACTTGGTGCATTATTCTGACAAAAATAGATGCCAAATGAAACCTGAATTTTGTTTGGAAAATAATCCTCATTTATAAAATAACTTTTTTCTAGGTAATTTCTGTTGGTATTACTTAACCTATTTATATGATTTTAACAAAGTCCAAAAAAAATCCTGGGAAAGTAGGGAATATAACTTTAGCATACCGAGTTAATTGATTTATATTTCATAAATTTGTTTTGGGTCTTTTCTGGTTAGGATACCTTAGAGCCTAAAACAAAATTAAAACTTTGAAGGCCGAGAGTTTTATAAAATATATATATATGAAAAACTCATTGCATGGTTAAATATATAAAAGTAGGCATTCTAGAATTTTTACTGTAAGTGGGTAAAATTTAAATGTAAATTGTTCAGCTGGTGTGTATATGTATCTTTATTTCTGTAGCAGTAGACCATATGTACCTCTTCCTGGTTGTACACATTTCGTATACAGTGAAAAAAGTCTTTATTTGGAGATTAAAAACTGAATTTCTGTAGCTTGGCCACCTTACAAATATCTCTTCTATGGCAGTTTTACTAACACCTGATTTATAGTTTAAAGGAGGATTTGGTATACATCACTTCACTTCACTTTAGAGGAACTCAGATTCATTGAAAAATGCATTCCCAGGTTCCAAAGACTGGGATGAGGTGTGGTTTTTATCTTCTTTTTACCGATCTTCTTTAACCATTCTCATTGTTTTCCCTCAGGAGAGAAGGTATTCAAAAAAATGATTATAATATTTATAACTTTTTCTCCTAATATTTGCCTATGAAAAAATTCAGATGTATAGTTGAAAGAACTGTATTGAAAACATTTGCGTACCTACTACCTGGATTCTACTGTAACATTTATTATTATACTTACATTACTTATTCCCCCCACCCCCCCGCACCCATATTGGGGATTGAACTCAGGGGCACTCACTCAACGACCAAGTCATGTCCCCAGTCCTGTTTTGTATTTTATTTAGAGAGAGGGTCTCACTGAGTTGTTTAGCGCCTTGTTTTTGCTGAGGCTAGCTTTGAGCTCATGATCCTTCTGCCTTAGCCTCCTGAGCCACTGGGATCACTTACAGGCATGCCCCACTGCACCCAGCTCTACTTATAACTTTTAAAAGATGCATTTTAGACTGGTGAACATTGTGGTGGACATTTCATAAAAAAAGAAAAAGGAATGAAAAGAAAAAACATGACACTTGCATAATATAACGGGTTGCAATAGAGAAGTTCTTGTCATACTTCAATATATATACAAATCAACTGGACTCATTAAAATCCAGATTCTAATTCAGTGGATTGAGACCTGATATTTTGCATTTCTAACAAACTTCCAAATGATGTTAGCATGTTTCACACATCACACTTAGAGTAGCACCATACTTTGAGTAGAAAAGCAATAGAGGACATTAAAAAGAGACTTCTGATTATCACACAATGTTGCTGTCTCTTTCTCATTTGATAAGAGCCTAATAAAACATCTGTGTCTCCTTTCCTTGTATGATTATTACCTCAGAAGTACTAATTTATTCTTGGTGTTTGACATTAATGCTTTAATGTACTATAGCATTTATAATTGATAATAAAATTATGTGGCTTCCTTAATTTATTTGTGGTACTGGGGATTGGAACTCCAACCTTTTTTATTTTTTGAGCTAGGATCTTGCTATGTTGTCTAATGCGCTAAAAGTCCTTGGATTTGCGCTCCTCCTGCCTCAGCCTCCCAATAGCTGCAATTATAGGCATGTGCCAATGTGCCTGGCTGTGGCTTCCTCTTAAAATAGATTTTGAGTTTTTATATTGTTTTGTGGCCTTTTTAAAAAAATAAAATGCTCTTTGAAGGTGTATGATATAGAAATAGATTCCTTCAAACTTGCTTTGTAGAAATTTGTGAATCATCTATATAATAGAGATAACATAGTACACAGCCTTTCCTGTATTTATATCCCATTTTATTCATGTCTTTATGTATGTTGCTAAACTATAACTTAGATCTTTAATTTCTATTCCTTTATTTCTTTTTATTAAGTACACTTAATGATTTGCTTAGAAATTAATTTGCTTTGAAGAGTTTATTCATCTTCCTTTCTTTATATTAACTTGTTATGTGCAGGCTTTGGGAAAACTAATAATTTTAGAGATTATATTAAATATGCACATTTTAATTAATTGTACATCTCCAGTTTTTGTGAAAATTTGAAGCCCTACCTTTTGCCAGAGTAGTTTGTTACTCATTTGTTATTCCACTTGTTATTTGGATAAAATAAATGTTTATCCTTACTGTGTTTTATCAGCAACTTATTTTATACCCTAATTTTTGATCTTGCTGATGAGCTTAAAATACAAACACCAAAAAGAATATTTAGGTTAGTAGGAACAGAACATCTGTTTAGAGGTTCTTATAGATCATTAAGGGCCAACAGCCCTCAATGGGCCCATCAGCAAATATTTGGGACATCAAGGGCCACAAGGGGTATCTATTGCATATTTCTTTTTTTTTTTCCTGTAACCCATTAAAAATTAAAAATCATTATTAGCTTGTGTATAATACAAAAACAGGCTGTGATTGTTTTTGGCCTGTGGGTTGTGATACAATAATTCCTGACTCTCTGGATAACTTTAAAACAATAGAAGTTTGGCCAGACTTTCAACTTAAATTATACAGGCTAAACCTTAGTAATTTTAAAGTAAAACATGTTTTTTTATGAAAGGAAAATAGAAAATTTACTGTAGTGCTTTTCAAGATAAGAGTTGTAGAATATATATTTTTACCAACTTACTTTGTAATTTTTAAGCCCATTACCTGGTCAGACTTTTAAATTCTGTACAGTCTTTTTAGTGTTCACCTGAAAGCAAAAAGAAGTTATTCTAAGCTAATATACTATATGTGGTTTCAATGTTCCTAGTATGTAAAGACTAATACTTTCACATTATCTAGGCGGTTAGTAATTGTCAGATTTTTCTGTTCCCTTTGGGCAGTGCATGGCAGTATTGGCAAAGGTTATTGAAACTGAAACATTGACACCATGGGAATAGCTGTGAGTTTTCCAGTCAGCTAAAATCAAAAGTGGAGAGGATTCTTTAAAATTCATGACAGAAGCAGAGTTCCCAGAGTATGTGCTGCTACTGATTAAGCTTTTTTGCATTCTGGTAGCCTCAATTTGAACATAATGTAAATGTTTTCCTTACTTAAAAATGTTGACTGATTAATATCCTAGTTTGTTAATTTTCAGCTATATAAAATAGTTGATAGAAGACTTCCATTAAAGTTTACCATTAGGTTATTTTAAAAAAGCTAAACAAAAAAACTTCTTGTGCTTTAATCTATATTTAATAGTTGATTTTCTGTACATATCATAAATATTTGAATTTTAGCTTTTATAAAACCAACAAAAACAATTATTGAGCACCAACTGTATACCATGTGTAGCCTTCCAGGTACTCCTATTTTATTTCAGTAATGCTGAGATGGTTTATACTTCGGCACAAAGTTGGTTTTTAGAATACATTTTGTTCCTCCCTTCCCTTCCCCCATGAAGGCTTATACTCTTATATCTGTATTTAGTTAGGGTATTTGATGTGTTCTTTTCTTGAAATAATTTTGCAAGAATTTTTACAGACTCTACAGGAACAAATTCTCAATGAAATAAAATCTCTTATTAAAAGCATAGGCTGCAGAATACGGGATGATACTCTTTGTTAACAATTCTTTCTTTACTGTGGGGTGTTCTATGCCCATGTTTTATAGGTCTGTTTACAGATAACAGTTGACAATATTGTTAAATCTCTTGATTTAAAAAGTCACATATTTAAACTTGTATACTTTTGTTTGTACATGAATATTTTCATTTGTTCTTAGACTTTAATAAGTGACATTTGAAAATATTTGTGGCAATAAGCTGTCTCCCCTAGCTAAATCACTAAGTGCCAGTTAAGAGCTTAGCAACTAGTTACAGTGGGCATTATGTATGTTTCAGTTACACTTTAATCTTAAAAATTAATCTACAAATTTTGGAATAAGAAACCAGTGTTCTTTCCTACAGTTGTATATTATATACAGTTTTTAAAAATAAGAGCCAGTGCCATTGGTAAGGCAAGGATAAATAATAATAATCTCATGTTTTTTGGATGTCAGTAGGCTTTGAAGCATATTATAAGGAAATAATTAAGTCTGAAAAAATATGGTAAATAATGATTTTTTTAAAAATCTAATTTAAATTTCATATTAATAAAACTCAGAAATGGAAGAAGTCATTCTGAAATAACTACTTCTCAGTAATGTTAATTATCTCAGCCACTGAGGTCCTGACACTGAGTTCTTGGTGGTGGGTACATTCTCTTTTTAATTATTGGCTTCCAATTCTCTCTCTGCATTGCTGGAAACAAAAATCATATATTTTGGTATTGGTGATGGGGATGCTTACACTGAAAAAACAGGCACATTCAAACTGATTTTAGAAGTGTTAAAATCAAAATTTGCTTCTGATAAATCAGTAGAAGACCATTACCCTGTTTGTTAGTACTTCTACATTGACCTTGTGACTTTCATTTTGTAAACAGGAATAAATAAAAGTTTACATCCTTAAAAATTTTAAGAAAATATGAGCTTTTACCTGGTTTGTGTACACCTTTCTTTATCTATATTATATATTTATAAACATATTTGATTTCTGCATTGATTTTTCACATTGAAAGAATGATTTGTGAAAATATCAAGTGACAGAACTCATACTTTGTTTTGCATGCTTTAAAAGTCATTTAATGTCTTAAATTATTTATTTTGTTTAATGAAAATTTCTAATATATAATTTTTTCAAGGACAAATGAATAAAAATCTTTTGAGAATTAATAAGTATAAAGTTATAAAGTATTAAAAACTTATAGGCACATACAAGTGGAAATTTAACTTAAAATACCAACATTAACAATTTCAAAAAATACTTGGAAATTTTCATTTCTAATTGGCTTTGCTAGCTAGTTGATTAATTCTCTTAAAAATAAGATTTTTGTTGGGCTATAATTTTTGTTACTAGGTCATTGAGTAGACTGGGTAATATATGTTAGAAGCTTGATATATATTATTTTAATAGGAAATATTTTAAAGTATGCCTCCTGCTTAACTGAAATTTAATTTTATAAATTTTAAAGTTTTATAGGTAAATTGTTGAACACTCCTGAAGCAGTTCTTAATATACTCTTGAGATTTGTAAAAATTAATATTCCTGAAAGAAGTGAAGTGTCTTTTTCTTAGTTGCTGTAGAAGCAGGCGTACAGAAGACTTACGCACACAAAAATTAAACCCTGGTTGTTGGCTTATTAAATACCTAGGGCTGAATCTCTGTGCCTGTTTGAATTTAAAACTACAAGTCATACTTTTGGTATATATTAGTGTTTGACATATGTTAACTTTTTAAGTGTTGGATCCATTTTGTCACATTTGGTTCAATAGAAACATTGATGTTACCAGTTAAAACTATTCTAATCCCCAAAGAAAAGTAATCATTCTGAAAATGAAATGAAGAGCTTTAAATTAAATTTGCAGTGAAATACACCAGCTTTTCTAAACACATGTATTAGAAGAATGAACACAAACATTACATCTTTCAAGTTAGTTTACATAGACTGATATTTCTCTGCTTTTATTTTTTAGAGATAAGCTGCATTGTAAGTACAGTTAGCTAAACACTTGGTCCTCCATGGCTACTGCCTACTTTTCTAGGCTGAGAAAGATGAAAAACTATCTCCATGATGGCTATAAATAATTGTAATAGTCATTATGGTTTTTTTTTTTTTTTTACCATGACCTTCAGCCGGAAAAAAAATCCCTTTAGAATAGTTAAATTAAAAGGTACAAAATCAGTTTATTTAGACATGTTCTGCAATCTTTTTTAGAAGAGTTGTAGCTTTCTACAACAAGAATACAAAATGCACTGCTCCTGTTTTGTGTGCATATTTTTTTATAGTTCATGACATTTCAGTTATTTTGGCAAACAGCCCTTACTTAATGTTTAATATAAATAATGTAATTTTCCATCCACAAAGTTCCTATAATCAATTCCACTTGTAAACTTAGAAGTTGAATAGAAAGAATTGAAGATAAAACTTGAAATTCCAGTCTCTTGACTTAACCTTTTTTGCAAGGTCCTTTTTGAAGTGTTTTTGTTTTAACGACAGCTATACATCCCTATTATAGTGTTTTTCTCCCCACTTCAGGTAGGGAGGTGAGAATCAGTGGTATATAAATCACCTGTTTTCACTAAGTCAAAGGAATAATTTCAGTCTAACTTCAGTTTAGGCTTAAATTACACAATTTGCAGACTATAAAATGATTATATCAGTTGATAAACAGATAAGAAATACATGTATTGAGTTTTTTCATAATCTTCCCTTAATTTCCCACTTAAAATTTATTTTAAAATTCTAATTCCATTAGAAAACAAAAATGACTTTTAAGAACAAACCAGGTTCCAGCCCATATTTTAGAACTGCATCCTCAATTTTATTAAATCTGATGTATGCTAAAGAAAATTCTCAAGTAAAGCTCATAGTTTCAAACTACTTGCACATGGCTGTCCCAATAAATTACTATTACCAATGAAACAGACTTTAAGAAGTTGTGTTTTACAATGCAGAGAGTGGAGGATGCTTTTTATACATTGGTGAGAGAGATCCGACAATACAGATTGAAAAAAATCAGCAAAGAAGAAAAGACTCCTGGCTGTGTGAAAATTAAAAAATGCATTTTAATGTAATCTGGTAAGTTCAGCATATTAATTTTAGCAGAAAGCAGGTATCTTTCACAGGTAACAAAGTAGCAACCACTTGGAACTATTTAGGTGTGGTATTCTAATTTGAAGTATTAAAAGATAAGAAACTTGTTTGTTTCCATAATTAGTACTTTTATTTTGAATAATGAGTAATAATTATAATTGGGGTTGTTTTGATGGCTATGGAAGACTATGTTTGCCATAAGGTCTGATAATTTAATTAGTCTTAAGTAAGCTAAGCATATTGGAACCAATAACTTTTAATTTTTAAGGAAAATCAGGCTCATGTTTTGAGAATATAAGCAACTTTTGTTTTTCAGAGAGGGAGGAAAAATATCAGAACTTGTATAGAATAATAAAATTGAATGGCCCAGAAAGGGGAAAGGGCCTCTCCTATATTTTTTCTTTTTTGAACATTGCACAAGCAAATAACTATTCTTCTGTCTGTGTTCTGTAATTCAATGGCAACAACAGAACTTTTTCACTCATGTGAGAAACCTTGGAGTTGTATGTAGGATGACTCCTGCCTCCCTGTTTTTCATACCCATTTGCAAGAAGTCATAAATTCCTGTGATGTTACTACTTTTTCTTTGTTACATCATTAATTCAGGCCCCTCTGATTTCTTGCTGGGACTATTCAACTTGTAGTCACCATCATTCACTGTGCAGGTGGAGATATGTCATTCTCTTACCTTTATATCTAGTTACTGACTCACCTATGGAATAAAATCTCAAGTTCTACAGCATGTCATATATGATCCTTAACACCTTCCCACTTCTCTTCCCAGCTTCTTTTGGCCTTTTATCTAAAACCACTATCATCTTGCCTGAATTTTTGTTTTTACATAAACAAACACCATGTTATTTCATATCTTCCCTTGCATCTTGGCTTTTGTTTGTTGTTTGGAATGCCAATATTCTTATCCCTACTCATGTTAATTAACTAATACTTAACTCATTGACAATTTCCCAGTCTCCCATTTTGTAAGAATTCCTTCAGATCCTTAGACTGAGCACATTGCCCTTGTGCACATTTCAAGTGTGTTGTTTTTAACTATTAACATGCTTCCCATGTTATATCTAAATAACTTTTGGTGTTTTATTCCTTTATTAGTAGAACTTAGGGGAGCCAGAACTATGTATTTTTAATCTTTGTATACCCATTGTCTTGTGATATTCTTGGCATATTGTAACTGCCTGGCAAAGATTTATTGAGTGGAATCTCACTTTTCTTTCTAAACAAACACATTAAATTCCGTCTTGCTTAGCAAGTACTTCATTAAATAGATGACATAAGTTAATGCCAAAGTTTAAATTTTTATTGCATATTGTTTATAATATATAATGTTCTTTGAGGATGTGAAATAAAATTATAATTTTCCAAACTACTAGGATATCTTTATTGTACTAATTACACTAAAAGTTGACAATATGAATCTTAAGTCTGAAACAATTAATACATATTCCAAAAGTTAAATATACATATGAGTAGTAGATTTGATCTCAATATTATGTAGTACACTAATCTATGAAACTCAGAAGAAATAAAGCATTACTGGCATTAATTTTTAATTGAGATTTATGAATGCAGTATTGTGCAAGGCAGTACTTTAATTTTAGAAGTTGTAAAGTTTAATACTACTAAAGTATGAAGTTGGACTTTTGAAGCAATGAACAGATTTAAGTGTTTTTTAAGTTTTATTTTCTCTCTGATTTTTTAAAATAGAACTATAGGATAAAATTTAAAAATAAGTTTCAGGTTTAATTTATATGAAAACAAAGGCAGAAGCATATACTATTCTAAAATTTCTAATTTGTGCAGTGTTTTCACAGTGAATGTAATGATTTTTTTTAGTGGATACGGATAGCACTTATATAAAAAATGTATTTGCTAGTATATAAAACTTTTAAAATTAGGTAAAAATGTTTTTAGAAAAATTTGATAATGATATGTATATGCAAGTCAGTTTTACTAAGTATTTAAAAAGATGAGTTTAAACCAAGTAATTACTAGGCTACTACTTGCCTTTTACATGTATGTGAATAGATTAGTTCCCATAGAAAAAATGAAATCACTGCCCTGTTTAGGTCAATTATGACATTGCCCTATCTAATGTAGAGTTTAACATGAGCCTTTCAAAGTATTTTAATGTTACAAGTTCTGAAACCATTGTTTCTTAAATATGTGGATATTATTTTTACCTTAGAATGTGGCTTCTCTCTAATCCATCTCATGATTTTTCATTTTTTCTGCTTCACCATTTTAAGAGCATTGCCATTTTTCTTAATTATAAAGGTTGTTGAAATAGACTACACAGGATTGTTCAAAGGGAATTAATTCATGAAGAGTAAAAGTGTTAAATCCTTTTTTCCCCCTTAGTTGTTGCATTAGAGTTATACATAATAGTTGGGTTCATTTTGACATAAATATACATTCATGAAATTTGATTTACTCCATTTCGGTCCCTGGTGCCCCCCCCTTCCCTCCCAACCTCCCCCCCACCATTCCCATTCTTGAACTCTACTGGTTTTTCTTTCACTCATTTATTTTTAATTGGTGTTTTATATATATATGGAATCACTATATATTTACACATGCACATAGCATGATTTTGTCAAATTCATTCCTTCCTCTCCTTTACCATCTTTCTTCTCTTCTTCTCAGTCATCTTTTACTCCATTGAGATTAGATCATTTTTTTTAAAGATCCACCCCATTCTAAGGGTTTATGATTCTAAATTGTCAAAGTTAGTTGTGATCTTTATTATGTTATTGGAAAATTTTCCCTCTATACATGTTGAGAAGAATAGCAAGAAGGGAGATATACATGTAATTAACCCTTTATTCTCCTTTCTTTGGGAGAAACAAAAGCAAATGTTTGATTGTATCAGTAATGATTTTTTAGAAAGTGGAAAATGTCAATAAGTGCAGTTTGAGTACTTTATTGAGTACCGTAGTACTCACTAGTGTTCAAACCAATGATACTGGGTTTTATCAAAACTATCTGCTATTCATTTTACTGTGGCAAACTTCTCATGGCCACTGTTTACCTCTTAAAATATTGGTCATATTTTTCTGAATTATAGATCTACTGTGAAAATTAATTAAATATAACTTTAAAGAAAATGCCCTAATTAATTTTTCTTATTAATCTGAAGTAATATGTTGTTGAAGGTCTCAGTAATATGGTAAAGATTATATTAAATTTTTAAATTCTTTTCAAGGTAATATTATATTTATACAATTTACAATGAGTAAAAATATAGTTGTTCATTGTTCTTAAGTGGCTTGATTTATGTGACAATTTGTTGGGTAATTGTTCCTAAGACTCCCTCTAGTGTCTAGATTTGGAAGCTAACAAAATTTCTTTTTTATGGTTAATAGTAGGTTGAACAGATTTTTAAATAAAGAATGGGTCATTTTTTTTCCTTCAAAATTTATTTTGCTTTTACTTATGTTTATTTTTAGTGGCAATATGGCAAAAATTGACATGGATCTTGCATAATTAAATATTAAAGGATTAAAATCAGTTCTGTTACCACTTTCAGAATACTAATTTACACATTATGAATTAATGGATTAAAAATTTTTAAGACAAGCATTTATATGGCAAACTTTGACTATCTAACACGCTAAACAAACTAAAACAATAATTAAGAGAATATCCTTGATGTTGTTAAACTCCAACCCAATTCAGATGATTTAGCTAATTTCTCCACATATCAGAAGTATTATATTTTTCAAAGTGGTAAAGTGGTATTATCTTCTTGGGGGTCACTTTCAGTATATAAATTGAAACTACTACTTGAACACATTATTTGAAAACTGAGAAAATATGTCTAGATACGTTTACTTCTTGGTGAAATTATTTAAATCCAAATGATTTTATGTAAGTACAGAACCAGAGGTAAAATATTATTGCCATGAGAATTTATGAATCTTATATCCAAAGTCCAGAATCTCAGGGACAGATAAATGTACACACATATTCATGCATACATGTATGCATATACACATTTGGATTTTGACAATTAAGGTTTTCAATATGTAAAATTAGTAGCAAATTAAGTTCTCCTTGGGGAAAAAGTCATTTGTTAAGCTTGCATATGATCAGTGCCATTGATTGTCTCTGCCTTTTGTAAAAATCAGAGGTTCTCTTTGCCAAAGAATTCTCAAAGTCTGATATATTTAATTGCTGGAAGAAAATTGGAAAGTGTATTTATTCTTTATCAGTGTTAATATTTACATTAATAATGGAAGTCCGTCATCTTTTTACCTTAAACCACCATGTATATATATTCACATTTTAATACTTTTTCTGTATTTCAGGGTGTTGATGATGCCTTCTATACATTAGTTCGAGAAATTCGAAAACATAAAGAAAAGATGAGCAAAGATGGTAAAAAGAAGAAAAAGAAGTCAAAGACAAAGTGTATAATTATGTAAATACAATTTGTACTTTTTTCTTAAGGCATACTTAAGTAAAAGTGGTAATTTTTGTACATTACACTAAATTATTAGCATTTGTTTAGCATTACTTAATTTTTTTTCTGTTCCATGCAAACTTAGCTTTTATCTTAAATGCTTATTTTAAAATGACAGTGGAAACTTTTATTCCCCTCTAAGTGCCAGTATTCCTTGAGTTTTGGTTTTTGAACTAGCAATGCCTGTGAAAAAGAAACTGAATACCTGAGATTTACATCTTGGGGTTTTTGGTGCATGCAAGTTGATTACTTCCTATTTTTCTTACCAATTGTGAATGTTGGTGTGAAACAGATTAATGAAGCTTTTGAATCATCCCTATTTTGTACTTTATCTAGTTACATAAATGAATTAATTAGTAATTATAACTTCAGTTGCAATTTTATGATTGGTTTTACTAAAACATAGAAGGATCACACGTTTATGGGTTTTCTTTCAATTTATCTTCAAGACATCATGTGCTATAGTTCATCATCCTTCATGAATGTAAACAGACATTGTTCACAAAGGCTTTCTCCCCCTTTCCACTGCTATTCGTAATGGTCATTATCCTAAAAATATTATATTTTTTCTATAAAAAGGAAAAAAATAGAAAAAAAAAGTAAGGTAATGGAAAATATTAAAAGGCCATTGACATTCCACATTAGATAAATTACTGTAAGACTCCTAGCTTTTCCTGTTAAGGCAAATCCAGTATGAAATGGGGATTATAGCAACCATTTGGGGGCTATATTTACATGCAACTAAATTTTTATAATAATTGAAACAATTTTAACATGTATAAAAATTCTCATAGGAATTAAATATAGTCTCCCTGTGTCAGATTATCTATTTATTCTTAGCATAACTTTAAATCTTTCTTGAACCTCAATCTTTGAAAATAGTTTTAGTTCTGGTAGTGATATTAAAGATTATTTGAGCCAGTTTTAGCTTAGTAGGTATTGAAGAGACCAGGCTTCATTGAGCTTCATTGACAGTTTCATAGCATGGACTGTATCCCCATGGTCATCCAGCATTGTCATGCATTGGTTGGTCAAAACGGGGACCAGGAGAGAGTAGTTTCAAACTCTCCACTTTTATAGTTCTTTTAACCCTGGCTAAAGTAACATTTCATAAATGCTTTTCAAGTCTGATCCATATTTAAGAATATCCAGTGCTCTGAAAATACATAAATAATAAAGTCCAATTCTTACAGTGCATTTGAAGTGTTACTTTAAAATATTTGAAGCGAGATGGTGTGGCGAGATGAAAATATCACTGGACTAGGAGGAAAATGAGTTAGATTCTAGATGTCTTTTAGAACTCTGATTTTGGGCAGGTCATTGTGCATGTTAAAAAATTATCTCAAAGGCTTTACATTATGTAATTTACATTGTTTACATAAAGATATACCTATTTGTCAAGCTCAGCACAATCTGTAACTTTTTACCTGTATTCAGTACCAGTCTTGGGGCAAAATTGTGCAAGAGGTGAAGTTTATATTTGAAAATACATTCTCCAGTTTCAGTACTCCACTCCCATATTAATGGCATTTTGCCTGCCTACCCTTCCACATGAACCATGAGTTGAGAGAATCTTTTTTAAATTTTTTAATTTCCCTCACCTCAAATTTTATTGCTGCTATGGATGTCTCCATGAAGTCTGCCCATTAAGGTACATCAAATTGTCTCTCTTCCCCAGGGCTCAAAATAATCTGACAGATACCATAATGGGATTGGACATAACAGCTAATTTTCAGATAGTTGCAGTAGCAATTTAATCTTGATCCTTTGAACATGATGTCTTTGCTGCCTGGTCCACTGGTGACTAAGTAGCAATTTTCAAACTTAGTATGAATAGAACCCTATCCAGTGGAAGAAGAATTTAATAAAGGTAGTACTTAAATCTACATCTAGGAGTATCCTGGTAACAATGATACATTCCATGGTTTTAATAACTAAAACCTTCTTACAGTGGAAACTTTGAAATTTAATCATAAAGCTTACTTTTTAACACAATTGATCTATTTAACAAATGTTTATTCAGTGCCTATCATATGCCAGCTACCACATAAGGCACTGGGGATGTGGTATCCCCAAAGGGACATAATTTCTTATCCTTAAGGAGTGCTAGAGTGGTCTGTAATACCTTAGTAAAGCTTTTGGCACGTGATCCAGAGGTGGTAATATAATGCACACTTTTGTTTTGCAAAAAGGGGGTTTGGTCTGTCAGATTTCTCCAATTCTACAATAGGCGTTTTTCTGTAATTCCAGTGTAACTGTTTAATCAAGCAACTTTACTTCATTGTTTTAAAGGAGTAAAAATTCCCAAATATGTAATATTCTAGTTTTCTCTTTGTATAATTAAAATAGACTTTTAAAATTAAATACTGACTTCTAAAATAGTTTTATTGGGGTACAAATAAAACAGGTGCCTGAGCTAATTCACAGTAAAGGAAATTTCTGTGTAAAAATCAATATAATTTCTGAAATGCTTTATTAAACTACAGATTTGTGGAATACTGGGTAGGTTGTTAAGACTTATGCAGTACCTTTTGTTTCTACACAGAGAAGGAAATGGACAATTCAGGAATTGCAGTATTCAGGATACTTAGGACTCTTGAATTTTTTGATGTAGCTGGGCAAATTTTTTTAAGGTAGTGGTAATTATCCTCCATTATGTTTGAATGGTTTAACACTGTTTTGTAGAGATTTTAAAAGGGGAGAGAATTCTAGAAATAAACATAAATGTTATCTAATTACTACAGCCTTAAAGATAAAAATTCTTGAAGTTGGAAAATAGTGCTAAATTACATAGTCTTAGACAAATAACGTTTGTGGGAAGAATATAGCAGACATGTAGTATAATTTGAGTGAATGTTCTCAATTAGGAATTCTAGGCTCTATTAACTGAGTCACACTGCATAGGAACTTAGAACCTAACTTTTATAGGTTATCAGAAATCTTTGCCACCATTGCACAATTTTGTCCTTATAAACATTGTGAGGCATGTTAAGTTACAGTTTGCACAACTTCATCTCATTTTTATTCTAGTGATTTTTTTTTCTTCTAACCACTTTTCCCCCCAATACACATATAGGGATTTATTTTGTAGGCAGTAAAAATTATCTGAAATAATTTCCCATTTGTGAAAATGTAGTAATTTCTTGATAAAAGTAATGTTTTTAAAAACTTAGCAGTTACTTTAAAGCTGAATTTATTAATGACTTCTGTTATAATATTGAGTAGCATGAATTCTACATTAAGAAAGTGATTAACTTAAAGCTGGTAGCTGTGGAATTCTGTCAATGAAAATCATTTCTTTCTAAAGACATATATTCTTGAAGAATAGTCATAGCTAGATTAAAATTTGTGTTTTAGCTTCATAGTTTAAAGTGCCTGTTTGGGATGATGATAGGCATTTTAGATGAATTAGGAAAAACAAAGTTATTACTGCAGAAACGTCAACTTCAGAGGGTCCACTTCCCGCCCCCACCCCAGTAGAGCTAAATGGGTTATATGTTTTATCTGGAAGTTTCCAGTTCCACTGTCTTGTGTTTTCATGTTGAAAATACTTTTGCATTTTTCCTTTGAGTGCCAATTTCTTACTAGTACTATTTCTTAATGTAACATGTTTACCTGGAATGTATTTTAACTATTTTTGTATAGTGTAAACTGAAACATGCACATTTTGTACATTGTGCTTTTTTTGTGGGACATATGCAGTGTGATCCAGTTGTTTTCCATCATTTGGTTGCGCTGACCTAGGAATGTTGGTCATATCAAATGTTAAATTTAAGAATGACCACTCTTTTAATTAAAATTAACTTTTAAATGTTTCTAGGAGTATGTGCTGTGAAGTGATCTGAAATTTGTAATATTTTTGTCATGAACTGTACTGCTCCTAATTGTAATGTAATAAAAAATAGTTATGGTGACTGTGGTAGTGTGTCTTTCTTATTTCTTTATAATCTTCTCCCCCCTTCTTTTTCTCTTTTTGCAGTACTGAGGATCAAACCCAGGGCCCCACATGTGTTAGGCAAGTGCTTTACCACTGAACTATATCCCAAGCCCTGACAATGTGTATTTCTTAATGGAAATTCTCAAAACATTTGCTCCCCAATTGATATGGAACATTTTATAAGCTGCATACACTAAAGTATACTAGTAGATCCTTTTTATAGCTTTTACAATTTAGAAATGTTCTTTGTTTATAGAAGTTGCTAAGAACATTATGTAATGTTTGAACTAAATTCATATAAGGTTAGGCCCACCATGTTAATTCACACAGAAGTAGATGCAAAACAAATCTGCTTTTATGACAAAAAAATAGAATAAAGTTATTATTTTATTTTGAAAGAAGGTAATTGATTCACAACAAATGATTTAAGGCCCAAGGGAGTCAACAGCAAAGTTAATAATGGAAATAATAGTTATGTAATGCCAATCACTGGGAGACTATTTCAAGGTCAGAAGTAATCTTCATATCTGTTATTTCTATAACTGCATTTAAATCATTACTGAGTGTTATTTGATTTTTTTTTAATCATCCTTTAATATGTGCTTTAATGTACCAAATTGGGTCAAAAATAAAACTACTCCAAAAGAGAATAAATGTGCTAAGAAATTATTTTGCTTATTAAATGGCATTTTCTTGTCAGTACAAGGGAGAAATTGGCTAAAAGTAATAGACTAAAGTTAGAAAACAATTTCTTACTGGGTTCTTATTAATTTATAATTGGTTGTATAAGTTGTTATTTTAATAAAAATTGAGCATAAAGGATTGTGGATGTATCTCTTAGTTATCTGGTTGAAACTAGTTTTGGTTCAGCAGGACAGTTCAGGTATTTTTTTACACATGTATATCTTGCCATTCTAGTTTAGAATACTTGGTATACACAAAACAGATGGTACTGATTTTTCAGCTGATTTATAGTAGTAATGATCACTTAGTTTTGTTGATATCTGAATAATAGCGTTGTTTCATAGCTCTGTATTTTCTAAGGAAGTATAAGGCTTCTAACTCTTTCATGACAAATTCGCCTCGTTCAATAAGTTCTTTGATCTTCTCTGGATCCTTCACATCTTTGTTTTTAAGGAAAACATTCTTCAAACGCCTTTTAAAATAGTCTGCTCCTTTTGGATAGTCCCGTCCAAGGTACAGCAGCTTGAAAAAGAAAGATTATATATTTCTAAATAATCAGGGTTATATGACAACATTTGTAAAACTGGCAACATAATTACTCACATTTTTATAAAGATTCAGTACTTCTCCTCTTAAAGAATTGGCCATTTTCATTTAACGTTGAAATTAATCCACTTTTGTACATAACATACCTAAAGAAAAGGAAAATTTTTTGTAAATAACTCCATTGTATTCTTAAATAATAAAATAACACTGATCTTATACACTGGGAAATAGTACCTTTTTTTTAACCTTTTGGTAAGTAGCCCTTTTATTGATGTTTGAGGTACTGAGATATAGCTATGAACATGTCAGCTATGTGAACATGTACAAAACTACTTCTAATGGAGACTTAAACAAGACAATTATGAATGGTGACAAGTTCTATGAAGGAGAGAAGATTATGAGAAAACAGATTATCTTAAGTATATAGCACTACCTCCTTTTACTACACAGTGGAATGAGAACTAGATTTTACTCCCACCTGCAAAATGTGTTCTACAGGTTACTTAACTTTTGAGCTTCGCTTTCTTTAAGGGAAAATTCTTTTTACCCTGTTCTCAAGGCAAGGCCAGATCTGTTTGGGGGATATTAAGAGTCCTGATCAAATCTAGAAGGGTATTCTCCAGAGGAAGGTTAAAAACTAAAAGAAACTGAGTATGTGAGTCAAACAGGTTGGCAGTGAATAGTAGATAAACAATATGATAGATAAACCATCTATCTACTATTTATCTACAAGGGTGTCCAAGAAGAAGAGGCAATATCCAGTGGCATGCAAAATCCTTCTCTCTATATCTTTGTTAATGCTACAATAAGGAGAGGAAGCTCTTTAAAGGCACCATTACAGCCTAAACTCAAAATAATTCCTACTAGTTAAAACTATTGGAATTAAATCAAAATCCCTAACACTGCATCCTATCAGATGGACACAATTCCAAGATATTCCTTTATGGTTCCAATTTTGATCACTGGATTAAAGTGATGTTATTCAAGGTTATTTCTCCAAAGTACTACTTTTTGTTTGCCTTTCAGTGGACAATGGTATTTAGAAACTACCACCTAGATGGAATATTTTAGAACCCAAGATATGGGAGCTAGAAGTGCTTAAAACAGTGGGTTTGTCACTATTCCAAGGACCTCTTCAGTGGGCAAACTTGCAAACAAATGTATATACATGTAGATTAAATGTGATATGTGTATACATACACAATTATTTTTATACAAATTTCTATATGACCTGATAACATTCGATTCCAACATTACAGGGTTTGTTTTCATTTTAGTTTTTCCTTTCCATAGTTTTAGCACTCTTGTCCACCAATAAGAAATCTGGTTCTCATTATCCTCCATAAATTTGCTTTTTGGATCATCAGTCCTCTACCCACAAGGCAACCAAATTCCGGTCACTGTCACCACTCAACACACACTATTCTGAGCTATGCCACCTAGTTCCACCATCCCACATTTTCTTCTCCCCATTCCTTTCTTCTCATTTCCCTCTCTGAGGCTCAAGAATTATGCTGTGCCACTACCCCCTTCCTAGATAAGTTTCACTTGTTCCAACTCTAACAACCTGTGCCACCAACTTCTCTATCCAAAGAAATGTTCTCCTCACTTCATGGTAGGCTCTTATAAACAAACCCCTCCTAACCCCCAAAGACCATTCTTATCTTACAATCCCTTCATCTCTCCTTCCTTTCTCTAGATGCCTGCCCACTTAATGACCTTTGAACTGAAGATTTTTTGTACATAAGTTTTAAGGGTTATTTTATAGTTAACTAGCAGAAAGTATAAATTAAAATTATAGCACCATATTCAGTTAGAAATAATTGTGCTAAGTCCTCCCATTACTTTTCTTTTGGTTCAGTCCTAAAGTACAATATTATAGACTCTCATTAAGACCTCACCTGTCCCCCTGCCTCATTTAGGCATTTTGACAAAATTTACATCTTTCATAATTTGAAAGGTAGGGTGTCAGTGTTTTCATGCATATTGTCTTATGTTTTTATATCTTATGCTTAAGAAAAAGTGCATAAAATGTGCAAATTTAAAGTCATTCAGGTTATGAAATAATTAAATCTTTTAAGCCTTCATATGCATCTTTCCAGTCATCTCCTTCCCATCTCTACCAAGATGACCACTAATGACTTGCAAATTACTCTTGCTTTGTAGTTTTCCCAACCATGAACACTTTCTTAAATAATATATTTAGTTTTGACAATTTCAACAGCAAGCATGAGTCTAAGTAAGGACAGAGGAAATAATCCTGTTACTAAATGAAAGCCCAGAAGTCCTAATCTGGCTTTACCTTCCCCAGGATTTAAAGTTCCCTTCAGGAGTATTTAGTAATGTCATGAATCTTCAGCTCTCCACAAATGAAGCCTGTGGAAATCAGGTATAAATCTTGACACTTGATTTCTGGCTATTACACAGAATAGGGAAGAAAAGACTATTATTTACTTTAAGCTCACCAAAGCCCAACATCAGCTTCTGGGAACAGGTTGAAGCAAAAGGTCAAAATGAGTGTCCTTAAGTTGATTCAGTCAGTGAACACAGCATAGAAGAGAGCAGATATTTCATTTCCATGTGGTCCAGACAAGGCAGGTACTGATAAGAATCTGCCAGACCTGCCTTGGTTTAATGTCCTCATAAAAAGAGGGTCCAAATGGTAACAGGAATCTTGATAGATAGCTCTCAATGTGAGTTTGATTCTGGATTGGTTGTTCCATATCAACTATTGTGTTGGGATGTCATTTGTCCATCCTAGAAATTCCTTTATCTTCTATATTGACTATCCTACTTTTCATTTTCCAAAGTGTCCCTTTTTCTGATTTTATTGTTTTGGTACAGCACATCCTTTAATACTAACGGCATACAGGAGGTGAATAAGACTTTGAATGTCTAAAAATGGCTGGCCACTTTATATTTGGTTGATAGTTTGGTTGGGTATAGAATTTTAAACTGGAAACAATTTTCTTTCAACATTTTGAAGCAATTGCTCATCTGTAATTTTACTTCCAGCACTGCTATTAAGAAGTTCAAAGCAGTCTGGATAAATGATCTTTTATTTATATGTGATGTATTTTTTCATCTCCTCAGAAATTTGAGATTTCTTTGAAGATTTTGAAACTTTACAATGATGTGTTGTCATGGGTTTATTTTCTTCCTCTGTAATACACTTGGCTTTTGCAATCTGGAAACTTTGAAGTCTGGGGAAGAAATTAATTTTGTTCCTAGTTTCGTGTCCCTCTCCCCAATTTTCTCTTTTCTCCCTTCTAGGAACTCCTATTATTTGGGTGTGTGAAATTCTAGATATGCCCTCTTTCTTTTTTTTCTTTTTTCAATTTTCTGGGATACTTTCTTTCTCATAAACTTCCAAGTGTTCTATCAAGTTTTTTCCTTTCTGCTATAATCTCCAAGAACTCTTATTATTAATTTTTTTCAGTATCCTGTTCTTGCTTTAAGAACACAGATGTTTTTGTAACTACATAATATATGTATCTCTGAAAAACTTTGATTTTGCAAAAACACATTAAAAATAAGAGAGGCTATGGGAGATATGTTTGATCAGATACCTCAAATTCTATACAGCTGAAATCAGAGCAGTATTCAAAACCAGAAATGGTACTTGGACAGTTAATCTGAAACATTTAGACTTCTCTCAGAATAGGAAGAGACCACAGAGAGGTTAAAAATAATAGAGTAGTCTGAGGATGGGAGTAGGGGGCTGGAGACTTGAGTGAGAATCAAACATGAATGAAGCAATCACTGGGGATGATGGATATGTTTATTTTTATCATGGTAAAGGTCTCATAGTTGTATAATAGATATCAAACTTATCAAATTATACTTTATTATATATAATTATGCCTTAGTAAAACTACTAAAAATAGAATAGGAATTCTGATAAGATACTAAGATACATATGTAAGCAGAGATCTATCCAAATGATCAGGCTGCCAGTTAGTGAGTAGGAGTAGGTGTTCAACCTGCCCCCAGTCAGCAGCTACACATAATTTGCGGTATGCCTTCCTGGGGAGGAAGTACTGGATATAAGCTCTTATTTTACAATGTAAAATAGTATATCTAAAAGGTACCTCCTGCCAGTATAGCAGCTAAGCAAAGACCTTTTCTTGCTGACTCATATATCTTTTTTTCTGGCCTCTTTTTAGGGGGAAAGACCAACATAGGAATCAAAATTACTTCCACACTAATACTTAGAAAATTCTCTTGTAGTTTATAAGCTAACTCACATAATAAACACATAATGGAGTCAAACCTTTTTTTCTCCCCTTCTGAGTTCACTGTTAGCTTTGTTGAAACTTTCTATTTTATTCCCAATTGTTCCCCCGCCCTGTTTTTTCTCTATCACTTCTGAGCTTTCTTCCAAAATCTGGTGTTCTTTTTCTGTCCATTCTTTTAAGGACAAAAATGTCTTCTAGATCTGCATCCATGGTTGAAGCTTATAGGCTTTGAACTTCACTTCAGGTATCCTAGGTGAGTCCTTTACCTTCTCATGTATCTTGGATTGTTCCTCTTGGGCTACTCAGTTCCCTGAGCAGTCTACCAATCTCTGAGGATTTGCCAATTAAACCTTTAAAAGAAAGAGGAATGAGGGTCTTGCATTCAGCATTATGAATACCTAAATTCTATCGCTTCTCATGTATTATAGTATGCTTGAAGATGCCCTAGTATTACTTTGTCTAAAAATAAACCTCCAGTCATCTGTGGGAATGAGGGGTGTAGTTACTTAAAGGAGTCTCTCAGATGCTTTCATTTAGTTCTCTTTAATTTTCATTCTTCACCTCCAATTCCAGGGCCACTGTTCCAATGTCTTTTAAGAATACTGTGGTAAAAACTGGGTTTTTCTGGTGAACTAGGTCACCTTTATTCATTGTTTTCCAGCTTCTAAAGTTTTATTGCTGTCAAAACCTCTCCAAATCTCCATTTTTATATCCTTTCAGAAAGATACAGTAGAATTCTGGAAGGGAGTAAAATTAGGGTGTATTGAACCTACCAAACAACAACTAAGGTATTTCATTAAAATATTTTTTGGGGAAGGGCCATTATCAGAGTGAGCTATTCTTAAGAATGTTAAAGAACCATGTGGTTCTCAAAAAAATTTAAAATTAAATGTATAGATATAATTTTAAATTGCAAACACAGACTGTTTAATGTCTGGCAAAGAACCTGGCTTCATTTAATTAACAATTTGTAATATATGAAAGCTTTTTGAGAACCTGATTTATGTTGCTGGCTTTTTTTAAACAAATTATTAATAAAAGATTTGCCTAGCAAAAAATGGAGCTAGTGTGGCTAAGGTAAAAATTGTCCAATTCTTTGATGTTATGTGAATGAAGTCAGTTTATTGTTACATTGCTGACTTTCAGGCATTTGAGTTTATTTCAGCTATTGGGAGAAACAGGTCTTCTTGGGTTTCTAATTTAGGAAACTATTTTAAGTCCAGCAGGGACATGGGCTGCTGCTTAACTCTTCATGAAGTCATGGAAGTTAGGGAAGCCAAAAAAATTAGGGTTTAAGAGAAACTCCCCATTATTATAAGAACTTGGGTATGTGATGGGTGAGAAGGAGGTGCAATCCCCAATAATTTTTTTTCAATGATGCAGATTAGGAGTTAACTAACAATCAGCTCCACTCCTAGGTTAATAGTGAATTGTCAATTTACTAGGAGTCATGGTGCCCAAATTGTTAATTACCCTTTCCCATGAAGTTCAGATAACAACATAAGCTGAAGGAAAACACAAAAGAGAGGCACTATAACGTTATTTGTAATTGGTTCTAGTGGACTTAAACAGGTGAAGCACAATTTCCCCAAACTAGTTAATCCTAGAAAGCTTTATACACAAAAATTGTACCAACACACTTGCCATCAGCAGAGTAAGTAATCAAGAGACAGGTGACAAGAGATTTTACCCTTAAAGGCCAGCATACACATTCATCTAGGCCTGGAAAGCAGACTATACAAAGTGAGTTGTGGATAGGTATGTTTAGAAGGGGCAGGTAGGCGCTACACCTGTCTGAAGGTAAAGAGATACCAGGGAGCAGGCCTGTACAAGGATACTAGTAGACAGTAAAATTCATGAGTATAATTCCTTATGCCACAGTGACTTGTACTAATAGAGATCAGCATTTTGGAATCCAACACATCTATGCAATTCCTCCTCCCAGGGAAGGAGGTTAACAGAGAGCTTGAGTAGATTCTTTCCTGCCACAGTCTGGCTGGGCACAAATGCCGCAGTCTGGCTGGGTACACAATCACGAGCCACCACACAGCTTGTAGATTCAAACAGCAACTCTTTATTCCTGAACTCACACCAGCCGTCTACAATCACGTTCTGGGGAAATCCACGTTCTCTGCCCAAATCCACCTCCACTGGGCATCTGTCTCCCCAAAAAATACTGTCTAAATCCCGTGAGAACTCAAGGGGAACTCAGGCAGCAGGATACGCCCTATTCCCAGGAGGAATAATCTTAAACCTGGAACGCCCTAAACCCAATTATCTTAAACCGGGAACACCCTAATCCGCCTTGGTCCTTGAGCAAGGTCACCTACATTCAATGTCACTGCAAATGTCAGCAACATGGGGTACGCTGGCAAGGAAATTGTCATACCTACTTGGCTAATGGCTCCCAGCACTTTCCCCTGGAGGTCTACCATTTTAAGATAGTTTGGGTTTACCATTATCCTTTGCCCCATCGATCCTAATTAAGAGATGACTAAGGTTTTGTATTAAATATTAGTAGTTTTGTTTAATTCAAAACAAAAGCACACTTCTATACCAAATAGCTACAGTGAGCTGTAAAAGAGCTCCCAATGAAATAAAAATTAAAAACAACAGATGTTTTTATCTAGCTTCCAGCATGTGGAGGTAGGTGGGATGTAATAACTATTACACACTAAGACTTCTATTAAGTGGGGCTTATAATGTTTTACCCACAAAGGCTAGTTCTGTCGGTACTACTTTTTAAAAAATCAATAATACATTTCATCAACGGCATTGGAAGGGATAGAGCATTATTAGAATTCAGGGCCAATAGTTTTAAAGTACTTCCGGCCTTGTCATGAAAAAACAGGGTTTAGACAGGTCCTAAAATCACAGAGAAAAATTGAGGCTTTGGAAAAATAACAGTCACTTAATTTCTTCTCATTTTCCTCTTGGTGTGGGGTGCCGGTGTTTATTCATGTGCGGAAGGGTCAGAAATTATGAAAGTTGTGCTATTTGTTAGTACACTTAAGTGTGTGACCTTGGGCACATAAGTCTTGCTGGGCCTCAGCACTCGGCAGTCTTCAACTGTTAGGAATATTTTGCCCACTAATTGCTTCAAATCATTTTCAATTCTTGTTTATGGCTGTCCTTAGGATAGGGGAAACGTACTTTTCACAGAAAGTAAACAGATCCACGAGCAGAGAGAAGATTCTGGACTATGTTAATCTAAAAGTAACCAACCCTCTAGGAGTCAATTTGTTCGTATCCAAATTTGCAAAGGATCCTGTCCCCTGGCTGGCCTAACTCTGGTGGCCCAGGTAGCGCACTAGGATGTCTGTCACTTGACCCAAACGCGGGTCGCTCCCTTTCTTCTGGAAACCCTCCCAGAAAGATTCGCCCCGACACACTTTAGGCAAGAAGAGGAGAGAGACTGTCAGCGTCGGAAAACGCTCAGAAACCCCTTCCCACACCCATAATGGTTCTCGCCCAGACATACTTCACCAACTCCAGACCCCAGAATCCGGAAAACAACAAAGCGCCCCGGTGGCTGCACTCCGGCGCTTTCCGGTATGCTACAGCCTTAAGAGCCTCTGACCGATCTGACTTCACCGCTCCTCCACAGCCCAGCGGAGCGGGGTGAAGCTGAAGCAACCTGTCAGCGGTGGGGGCGGGACGACAACCGGAAATTTCTCTGTGCGGCGGCGCACGCCGGTATGGGCGGGCCTGAGCTCCGCCTATGTTGCGCAAGTGGGCGGTGCTTGTTGTCTTGACCACCTGGGCAGCGTTTGTTCACAGCCGAGCTCCGACTTTGCCGACTGGGAAGGTCGTTCTTGCTTCCTCATGGTGAGAGGGGACAAGGAGAGGTAGTTCAAGAGGCGAGCATTAATTCAGCTTCACCAGTGTTGAGTGACGTAACAAGAGCCCGTCATATTTTAGAAAGGAGCGGCTCAGTTGAGGAAAGAACCCTTAGCCCGGGGCGGGTCCGTTTTCTCCTGACTGGTAGCCTTGGGTTCCTGAGTCCAGCAGACAGGTGGGAGTCCCAAACCAGTTTCTGCAAACAGATGGCCATAATGGTAACATGATGTCCTAATCTTACTTGTTGCTAAACTGAAAACAGTCCCAACCTAGTAATTCCCAATGATAGGCATTCCCACTAATTTGCTTTCTTATTCAAATTTGGCAAATATGTATTTACATCTCTTCTGTAGTTAATTAAAAGCTGATAAATTTATTGCACTCTGAAAGGTTATCTTGTGTGGTATTCCTTAGGAGTATGAATTGTTTTATCATTCAGTGTAGTCAATCAGCATTAAATATGATAAAGCTTCACGTTTTGTTTTTGTGTACCCAGCTGTAAAGTCTTCCCCAAGGAGACAAACCAACATATAACTATGAGCTGATCTCTTTTCCCATTTTCTTAAATGTGATTTCCATCAAGAGATCTTCTATGATTAAAACCAGAGGAAGTGGAGAATGTAACTACTTGGTTAATTATTTAATGCATTAATTAAAGGAAAATATGGAGTGCATTCTTTGTGTTTGGCGCTGGGGTGGAAGCTAGATATGAAAACGAATGTGACAACCCTTCTATGGGAGGCAGATGAAACAAATTAACTTCAATACAGTTTTATAACTAACAATTGAAGAATCTAAAATGGGGTAACACAAAGTTGGAAATGATTAAATTGGGGGAAGGGAGACAGGAAAGAGTTGGGTTTTTCAACCTGTTTTAAAATATAAATGTGAGTTTTCTACAAGTGGTGGGAAGAAATAGGAAGTAGAGAGCACTTCTGGCAGAATACAAACGGGTAAGCCAATTTAAAACTATTGGTAAATTGGGAGAACAAAAAGTACCTATTTGTTCCTTTTGAATGTGAGTTGAAGTTTCTTCTTCTTAGATTCTTATAGCAATATTTCTCAATTGTAGCCCCTGGAGCTTTTATTGCTAACTCACTGGAGTACTTGTTAAAAACGCAGATTCCAAAAACCCACTCAACTCCAACACTGAACTGGCTGCCATGCAGTACTACAAACTAAGTAGCTTAAACTATAGAAATTTGTGTCTCACAATTACAGAGATCAAGGCATCAGCAGGGCTATGCTTCCCCTAAAGACCCTAAGGAGGGATTTATTCAGACCTACCTTCTAGCTTCTAATAGTTCCTTGGTTTGTGTCAACATAACTTCATTCTTTACAAGATATTCTCCCTGCAAGAGTGTCTTAAGTCCAAGGTTCCCCTTTTTATAACACCAACCCTATTCCAGTATGTCCTCATCCTAATTTAACTAATTAAGTCAGCAGTATCCTATTTCCAAGTAGGTCAGATTCTTATATACAAGGGTTTAGGACTTCTTCATGTGAATTTAGAAAGGACACAGTTCAACCCATCACATCTGCTGAATCATAACATGGGAAGGAAAGTGAGTTCAGGAACATGCATTTCTATGAAAGATTATCAGATGATTTTTATGCCTTCTGAACTTTGAGAACTATTTTACTGCATAATAGTTCTTATGATTTTCGGGAGGAATAAGACTATGTACTTAACCCTAACCTGTTTCATATTAGAAGCACTCAGGAGAGATGACAGTTTGCCTATCTTAAAATAGAGCTACTCAAGAACAGGAACAATGCTATTTACATATTCTGCTGTATAGTACTTACATCTGGTTGAACACATTTCTATTAATTGATAGCAAATATTATAACAAAAATAGAACCCATTTGTAAAAACCATATGAGATCAAAATATCTATTATTCGTCTGTATTTTGTCTCAAGCACCTCAGATGGCCTTACACATAAAGCATTAATAAATATCTGCTGAATCAGTAAAATATATATACTTTTCAGGAAGATGAAATATAATGTGTTATATAGTGATAGTGACTTTAACCAGTATTTTCCTTGTATAGCTTTTCAAATATATAAAGTATATAATCATATAATCACATGATCTACTACAAATTCCTTACAAGAAATCTGATGGATACATTGGCCTTATCAATAACAAGTAATGTTATTGAAAATACTCATAATTATAAATCTTTATTGAAATATTTTACTTTCCAAAATAACTTCTAGAAAAGAATAGATCTGCTGTAAAGAACCTTAAATCTTCATAGCTTTGCCTTCTTTATATAACCAATTCCCTTTCAATAAAACCTACCCAACTTATTATACAGAAAGATTATTTCTTTATAAAATGAGATCATTTCCACACTTGCACATTTGATGTTACTGCCAATAATTAGTCACCAATTTATTACTTTTGGAATCCTTTAAACCAGTACTTTCTTGACTGGCACTCAGTTTAGTGATAGAGTATTTTATTAAATATGGATCCTTGATTGTCATAAGAAATATTGTTGGAAACTATGTACAAAAGATGCCCTCATGGGTGAACTATCTTAGTTTTCCCTGTAGTACATACTTATAGTTTTGTCTGAATTGTATGTGTGGTTTTATGTTTAACCTAAATCATTTTTTAAACAGCTTTTTAATTTAGGATAACTTTAGATTTACAGAAAAGTTGCAAAGATGGTACAGAGAGTTCCCTTGTGCTCTTTTCCAAGGTTCTCCTAATTTTAACATCTTATATAATCATGATATTTTTGTTAAAAATATCTGAATTATTTTTAAAATGTATCATTTGTTTTCCAACTTTTAGGGTCCCAAAGAAAAAAAGGTATGTAGAAATTATTATTTTTCTCAAAATAGTTTATTTTATGAACACATTGTTTTACAGAATTCTTATGGAATTTTAAGCTAATTTTCTAGTTTTATTATAATGTATAGAATTTACTATGCTTACTTTTTTACACATTAATTCTATTTAAATCATGGAATAATCCTTAACAATTATAAACATTTTTATATGAACATATTTTTAATATAAAAATATAAACATATTTTTATATTTATATTTGATATAAAAAAGATTTCTAATTTCATAAATACAACTAAAAATTGCCTTTATTTTTACCTGTGTTTAGATTTGAGGCTTTTTGTTACTTCTGCTAAAGAAAATTTTCTTTTAAGAACTCCTTTTCTTGTCTACGGCCACACCACCCTGAACGCTCCTGATCTCATCTGATCTCGGAAGAACTCCTTTTCTTTTTCCCAGAAAAACACAAAAATTTATTTGTAAAACCTGTTATGACTTAAAAATGAACCCCAAATTAATATGAGTTTGAATGGATTAACACAGACTTGTGTTTTTTTAAATTTTGTTTTTTGTTTTTGTTTTTAGTACTGGGTAGAAATATAGTTCAATAAAAGATGTACTGTTCTGTGTGTTTAGAATGCCCTTTTTTCTCTTCTTCACTTTTTGGATTTATATTTTTAAGGCAGAGATTATAATCTCTTAACTGGCAGGCCAGATTTAGCCTACAAACATATTTTATTTGCCCTTAAATGTTGTTTTTTAATTTTCCTTTTAAAAAAATCAGTTGTTTTTCACAAAAATGTGATTCCCATCTTTTAATAAAATATTGGAATTCTGATAACATTGGGCCTACAGTCGTATGAGGCAACAGTTGACTTTTCTCAATGGCAGCTAACCCTTTTAGGAGGGCAGAAAGTCTTCAGTTTGCCATAGTTCTCACCATGGCCACATCCCTTCCTTTATTTACCTACCTGGTTTCAACAGGGATTTATTTAGGTTTAAAATGCCTGCTTTAAGGCATTTCTCAAGGTTCATTTCTTCATAGGTTTCCCCACCATTTCTCTTGCAGACTGAATTACAGTGGGCTTCTCTATTCATATGTTCTGCATCCATGGAGTCAACCAACCATGGCTTAGAAATCCATTTTTAGGGCTGAGGTTGTGGCTTGGTGGTAGAGCACTGACCTAGCATATGTGAGACACTGGGTTTGATTCTTAGCACCACATATGAATAAATGAATAAAATAAAGGTCCATCAACAATTTAAACAAAATTTTAAAAAAGAAATCCATTTCTAAACAATTGTGACTTTAGAATATAACAATTATATCCCTAAAAGCTAGAAGAAATAACGTTGAGTATTTCACTGAAAATGATACATGTTTTAAAAAAATTGCATTGGTACAGAATATATACAAGCTTTTTTCTGTCATTATTCCCTAAATAATACAGTATAACAACCATTTATATAGTATTAACATTCTATTAGGTATTAATAAGTAATCTTGAGATGGTTTAAAGTATATGAGAGGATGTGCTTAAGTTATGTGGAAATACTATGCTATTTTATATAAGGGATGTGAGCATGTGTACACTTTGAAATCTATAGAGGCCTGGAACCAATCTCCAACCTATATCAAAGGACACTTGTATTCTTATAGTACATGCATTTGTACATACCTAAATTATAATTCATAACATTTTATTGGAATTATGTATTTATGTCTGTGAGCTGTTAAAGTTAAGGTACATGTCACCTATTTTTATGTCCATAACATTTAGTACAGTGCCTGGCACGTGTAGAAATTCAGTCAATGTTTGTTAAATAAATATGTGAAACTCCATTTACTCTGCCAATACTTAAAAACATTTGAGTCCTTGACTACTTGGAAGAAACGTTTGCATAAATGTGCAGTTGCTATTGATATAATTAAACATTTCTTCAAGAAATATTGTTGCATTCCTTCTGTGTCTGCATTTGTCAATTATTTGGACCCACTACCAACCTGATACTCTTAGAGGTTGTAAATATAACTGAACAAAATTAATGAAGCACTCATAAAAGTTCTTAATAGGGAGGCTTCTGGAGGGTGCTATATATCTCTTCAGTTAGTCATTGGTTTATGTGGACTTTTTTTTTTCCTGATCCAAATTCTTAAATCTTAGAGGAATTATTTTAATCTGAAAACTCATTGTTTACTTTGGTGCTTAATCGTATGTCTTAGTGTGTGTTATCTTGCTAATAACACAATACCATAGAATGGGTACGTTATAATGAAAAGAGCCAAGACTTTGGATTATGGCTTTATCCAATATTGAGCCCCAGTGTGGTGCAGAGAATCACATGGTGAGAAACAAGGAGCTTTTATACCAGACCCACTCTTGAGATAACACATGAACTCCTTAATCTGTTATCCCATTAATTATATGAATGGGTTAATCCACTGATGAAATCAAAGCCCTGCTCACTCCTTAAAGGTCTCACCTCTTAATACTCAGCAGGTTAAATTTTAATATGAGTTTTAGAAGAACAAATATAATTAAACACTAGCATAATGTATGCATGGATACTAAATAAATGCTTTTGGATTATTTTGTGTTTAGTAATGTTTTCCTTAGAGATGGTGATATTCTTCCCATGAAATTTGAAACCAAACCCAAGAAATAAATTACATACTTTTGAATTATTCTGTTTTTGAAGAGTGTGGTTTTGTATTTTCAGTAAAGTTAAGAAAACATTAAAATATATATTTTATTTTTTCTGATTATTCAAAGTATTTTAAGAGAAATAATAATAAAGATGGTATAAAATTAAAATAATAATAGAATGGAAATTTTCTTCTTTCCCAAGATACCCAGTCTGCCTTCCTAGAATAATCACTGCTTATCTTTTCAGAAGTTTTCTAAACATTAAGGAGTACATACAGATGCAGACACACACACCTTTTCTTCTTTTAGCTTTCACTTATCAATATATTTTATTCAAGTATACTCATCTTTTTACCATTTAACATTACTGACATTGAGATGTGTCTTATAATAGATAGCATGTTCCTCTCTTTGTAGTCCTGCCGTGATATCCATTTCTTCTATAGAGATATTTTCTTCTGTCAGTCACTTGGGCTCACTACCAACCTGTTACTACTTTAAATTTAGTTCTCAAGGGGTTTTGGACCAAACTAATGTTTTGCATCAGACTGAAAATCCACATGAACTGGTTTGTGGTTTAAATTCTAACGGAATTTTTTTTCTTCCTTCTACCCAGTGTCTGGGTTGAAATGCAGGTTTCCTCACTTATACCTTTCTGTGTTGTGGGCTCGTTTGTCTTCACATGTGTATCTGTTTACTTTTAAATTACAATCTTGGGCATTATTTCCTTTATTTGGTAGTAATAAATTAAAGTGCATCTTACATCTGATGACATCATAGTCTTAATAGAACAAGTGTATCATGGGAACCATTTTGTTCTGGCACATTGAAATTACCTCATACCATTTAATAGCTGCATTATTTCCAATTGAAAATATGTACTATTTTTTTTATATTCCTCTTTTTTGCCACCACCTTATAAAATCCTTGTATGTAAGTCCTTAAAAACATGGAAGAATATTTATTTTATCAGTTTAGCAATGTTCAAGGTATCTAGTGAAAAATTTCAAGACCAATTTCTTGAACTCATCAAGTTTATGTATTCTATTTTGGGTTGTAGAAATAAATAATATAATTTTAGGTACCTTTAGATAGTCAGAAACCAAGTAAGAGGTCAATGAAAAATGTGGGATATAGTATGGGTGGTGATGCTATTTAACATAGGGTTATTAACCAAGTAAAATTTGAAAAGTAATATGGATAAAGCAAGGGAATAAGTCAATAGCTTGCCAAGGGACAAGCATTCTAGACAGAAGAAACAGCTATTGCAAAGATCCATAGTTAGAAGTGACCTTGGTGAGGGTGCCAGTGTATTTAAAATAGAATGAACAAGGTAGAAAGTGAAAGTCAGTTGTTAAGCAAAGCCAGTTTGTGGTTCATGGCCAAGTAGGCCTTGATGTATTTGGATTTCATTCTGGGTGTGTTGGGTAGCCTGGGAAAGCCTTAAGCAGAACAGCATGATCTGATTTACATTTTTAAAGGGTCATTGTGGCTGCCTTGTGGAAAATTCACTGTAGGGAAACAAGAATGAAAGTTGGAAGACCCATTAGGGAGCTGCAATACTGTTGCAATAACAGTCTGTATGTGAAGACTTCAAGCTGAGGTAAACCTATGAATTTACTTCTGGAAGTAAAAGATACTCCCAGAACTACACAAAGTTTTCTAAGGATCCAAAGACACAGTTTTTTGGAAATCAATTTTTAAATAGTCAACTTCAATATTTACCCTTTCCTGAGAAAATACCTTCTCATAAATTCCTACCTTCTTATTATTGCATCTTTCCCTTTTATAATCATCCTTGTACTTTATAAGATAAAAGCTTGTCTCTTATCCACAGCAAATCTTATTTTGGTCCATTGCCTAGGATCTGTGGTTTCAAACCAATGGAAAACTAAAGGCATTGGTTGGTGTTGGCAAAGCTTTCTCTAATAAAGGTATCAAAGACTTCTTGTTGTTCTCTGTGTTAGTGGTGAAATGTGTCAAGAGAAATATTGAGATTTTCTGAATTCATATTTATTATAGGATGGAATGATGGGAGTGATGATAATTTTTGCTCAATGGTATTGTCCATGAGATTATCATCAATTAATAGTACAGAGAGCTCTCTCAGAACATACTATAGAAAGTGAATCTGATATGGCCAAGAGGTTTAAGTTTGATGACCGGGCTTTGTCAAGTAGGCAAATGGTAGACTTTAAAAAAAAAAAATATTTATTTATTTTTTAGTTGTAGTTGCACACAATACCTTTATTTATTTATTTTTATGTGGTGCTGAGGATCAAACCCAGGGCCTCCCATGTGCCAGGCGAGCACCTACCGCTGAGCCACAACTCTAGCCCCAATGGTAGTCATTTTAATGCTTGGAATTAAATA